TGTATAATATGCTGTAAAGGTTTCAAGCCCAGGTCTATCCAAGTCCGGTCGTGTAAGATTCGCCTTTGAATAATTGTGCTCTAGAGTCATCTGGAGATCATGGGAGGCGTAGAACCGAACTTGTCTTGTCATGAATCTCTTTATGGCCTCAAAACCTTCTCTAGCAAGTCTGTCTTTGTGCACTGGGAGCTCCCTGCATCTCATGAACATTTGATAAATATCATCCATGTGTAGTAGGAAGAAGTCATTCTCTTGACAGGTGAACTCCGAGCCATCGGTACGTCGTAGACGAAAGATAAGGAACTTAATCGTCTCCAAGTAGTCTTCTGTGATATCCAGGATTTTCGATATAGGACATCCACTTGTTGCAAGATTATGATTTAGAACTTGTCTTCGTTCCCCTGTGGATCTGTGTCCTAGCATGTACAGGTTTCCTCCTCGGTATTTTCCTTTCAAGTGATTGATTCCTCGCATCTTTAATTCACTGAACTTCTTGATTTTTTCAGGTTGTCGCCAGATTTTCTCTCGGATTTCTTCTAGGAAGGGGGCTTTGATTCTAACAATTTTCCATTTTTCTTTGGCTGGTTCTGGTGCCTTGGGATTTTCTTTATGATTCTCCCCTTCCTTGAGTTCATCTTCATCGAGTCCAATCATTTGTGCATGATATTTGTTGAGAAATTCTCTGAGTTGCCAGCTTCGACACATTTCGTACTGCTCCGCTTCCACTCTAAGATCATCCCACTCTGTCCACTCGCGAGGCCACTGATCATGAACTAGAAGGTCTTCCAGTTCATCTTGTATTTGATTACCAGAGGGCTTAGAGTGAGCTTGTTGTTGTGTCGAAGGCGACCTGTCATGTGAAACACCGGGATCCTCAGGATTGCCCGTTATCATCAGATTAGAACTAGGTTCTTTCTGATGGCCTGAATAAAATGGTGTACTCGACGTAGCAACCTCAGGACTTCCACTCCATCCTTGGACAGCACCTGTAAAGGATGCGCCTAGGAGTGTTGTTTCTAGCTCGACCGGGCTATATGTGGGTGGATTGGCTGTTTGGCTTTTGTGTTGAGTGGATGGTGGGGGCTGATTGTTCGAGGATTCAGGTTGGTTGGATTGCGTGGAAGGTTGGCTTGTTGACGCATCACGCTCAAGTATCCTTTGCCTCTTGTTCTCCCCCTCATGAGGATCCGAGTCATCGGGGTCCTCATGCGAACGTTTGTGACCAAGGAGACTATCACGGCATGAGCTGTCAGGCTTAAGGTGTGACACCGCACCCGAACGTCCTTGAAAATTCGATTTAAAAATTCAAAAGTGATGTATTGAATTTCCGATTTCAAAGCAATGGAAGAAACGATTAATATTTTACGAAGTACATGATTGAATATCGTACTGTTCAAACTCGTACATTAGTGTCGGGTTTCGCAAATACTTACTCGGGACTTATTAATAAATAAAAGAGCCCGACATTATCTATATAAGTGATCGAAGGATTAAAGAAGAATACAAATGCCTATAACCCCATCTTTGGCATTTTTGAGCTAAATAATGGGAGTAGGATTTTCCTCCTATAATATCCATCAAGTAAATTATTGAGATGAGCCTACACATATTGGAGACCAATAATGTGATGTAGGAAGTTGACTTGTTCTAAATAAATTAGGATGAGTACAAAAAGACATCTTTTGACAAAAGATAAAACAATAGGACCCATCTTCCCATTTTTTTTTGGAAGTATTGGTAGATATTTTGGACCCCAAAATGATTGGGATCAATTGGGAACCACTCCACATGCCTTGGTAACATGATTGAGAGCTCTTGTATACTCCCACAACCCCCCATTCGACCCCCCAAAAGAGATAAGAGAGCAAAGGTATCCACACAACTCAAAAGGGAAGGAAGAAGGAGAGCAGTCCGCAGGTTCTTTCTTTAGTGCGAAGCTCTTACTGTTCGAGCCATAACGTGAGATTTACTCGTCCGATTAAGGCGTATAAGGTACAAAAAGAAAGCTCTCAAGACGAGGAATCCGTGGAGGTCTGGTTTGCATCAATCGGAGTAGTGGAAGGCTTCCAGATTGTCCGAACAAAACGCAACCTCGCAGAACACAGTTTTGCATTCAAAGTAAGTTTGAATCCAAAACCTTCCTTTTCATTTTCCAAATGATATGAACGATTGGTGGGACTATTATACACTACTAGAAGTGTATAATATGTCCTTATGAAGTTATTTTATTGATGTAAAGGTTAGATACTAACCTAGAGCAAATCTTGGAAAACTAGGAAACGAGTTAACCGGAAAACACCCGTTCTAGGGACTGTTTTCGTGTCATTCGGTTAGGAGTGGAGCTGGCAGCTGGAGGAGGCTGTTTAACACTCATTTCTAAGCAAGGAATCAGTTCTAAATCAACCTTGACCAAAGCCTTGACCATTGGATCAAGAAGGAAAAGTTTAAAGCTCAATTAAGGTGAGGATTGACATCTAATTGCTTACAACTTGTAGGTTAAGCATGAGATTACCTAAATGCTTAAATCATGATTTTTCATGGATTATGATGATTATATATTGATGAAATATTGATATAGTTGCCAAGGAATGAAAGTTGAAATGATTTGAGAAGGTATGAATAATATGAGATTAAATGAGTATAAATGAACTATTTTGTGAAAATGGGCATTTTGCTCATGTATGAATTATGTGGATGCATAAATGAATATTTGTGTATTGAGATTGAATACTTAAGTTGCTGCTACATAATTATAAATATGTAGAGAATTACAAATAATGAGGATAATGGTATGATAACAATAATCTTAATAGTATTGAAACACTAGTTAGTGATTATTGGAACTTGTTGATTAAATTGATCCTAGGGATTGGATTGTATGAAAGGTACTTGAAAATAGTTCAAGTGTATATAACAACTTAGTTTGGAACTAAGGTTAAGTTATGGGAAGTCCTTAAGGATGACCCAAAGTAGTTTAATGATATGTCAATTCTAGGCATAGGGTTGCTTGAGAATTGGACCTTAATGCATGGTGATGTAATAGAGCCGAGCTCTAGAATGCATGTAAGGTGTAGACTTGGAGTCTATGTATTGTATAGCTAGAGCCGAGCTCTAGGACTTGCGTGGTGATGTAATAGAGCCGAGCTCTAGAACGCAAGGTAAGGAAATTGACCCGAGGTATATGAATTGTATGGTGATGTAGTAGAGCCGAGCTCTAGAATACAATGTCATGTACTAGGGTTGGACTCTAGGAGTTGTCGTGGCTTATAGCCACGGGGTTGGGAATGGTGATTTCCAAATGAAAACGGGCCCACGGGCCGACTACTTGACTTTTATATAAAGTAAGTATATTTTTAAACGGGGTAACTTAGGGTTACAATCATAATGTACTATCACCCTATTTGAGGGTCTTGTGTTTGAAATACTTGTTGTATATCTATTAGATGCCTGCCACACCAGTACTTTATCGCCGTATAGAGTACTGACCCCTTCGGGGGCGTCCCACCACCATTTCAGGTTGAGGCTAGAGCTTGCATCCTGTGCTCGTTGATCGAGTGATTCCTCGGAGAGAAGACTTGGTTCGTGCTTCCTCCATTCTATTTGAAACATTAATAAATTTGCTCATGGATATTTTACTATAGAGCCTGCGTGCTCATGAATAGCCCGGTGTGGCCTTTTGTTTTAAACAATGTTTTCCGCTGTGTTATGAATTACTTATTATGTTTGTTTATGGATGTTATATGTGTGAATGATATTCATGACGCCTTGTATAATATGAATGTGTTGGACTGCGGTTGACTATTCGTATTGTACGGCGGGTTGTTGACGTGTCCGGGTAGGTCCGGGGCGTGACAATTAAGTTGGTATCAGAGCCCTTAGTCCATAAACTTCATAATGAAGTCTCAAAATTCTCTTTTTGAAAAGATTTTGAAAACCATGAGCATAGAAGTTTTGTACTTGGAGAGCTTTTGGTACTTGGGTTGCAAGGTCTCTAATTGTTAAGATGGTACCCTTAGCAATTGGTATGGCAGTGACCCGAGCCAAAATGTGTCTTAAGTACCTATCCGTCAATTGACATTTGATACGAGTCTAACGACTCTTTCCCAATTTCTTTCAGAAATGGACCGTGGTGGCAGGATTACTAGGAGAAACCCGACCGGCCATGTACCAGTGGAGACTGGACAGGGCAGTCGAAGGACCTCTAGGGCATCTAGAGGGGCTGGCCGTGGAGGCCGATCACAGACCGTGAGTGACGGTCATGTCGACACGGAGAGTGAAACCTACTGGTCCTATGAGGACTCGACCTATCAACCGGAAACTGAACCGGTTGAGACCCCTTATGAAGGGGATGATGATGATGTAAGTGATGAGGAGGAAAGTGGCTCCTTAGCACGGATTGAAGCACTGCTTCAACAGTACCACCGTGAGCGTGAGGAGAGGAGGGAACGCCGAAGGCGCCGGGCTGGGCAGCCTTCGGGCGGGGCTTCAAGAGGGAGAAGCCATGGCGACTCTAGGGCCCACATTGAACCACACGGGGGTCGGGGTGATGGGGGTCCAATCATAAGGATCTCCAAATACATCAAAGAGGCACGAGACTCGGGGTGCAAACCGTTCGATGGGACGGGTGACATCTCCGTTTCGGCACAATGGATTAAACGGCTGAATGAGGCAGCCCTGGACATGCAACTCACCCCCGAATATAAACTAAGGGTTGCGGTGAGATTGCTTGAAGGTATGGCATCCAAGTGGTGGGATGGGACCAAAGGCAAATATGGCGAGACCGTCACTTGGGAGAATTTCCGACAGGAATTCTTTGCCCAATATTACTCGGATTTTGAGGTGAACAAGAAAGTGAGGGAATACACCCTTCTAACCCAAGGGGGTAACATGACGGTGAGGGAACTTGAGTACAAGTTCAGGGATCTTGCCGATTACATACCTGAGTATGCTTGTGACGAGAACCGGATGGTGAACCACTTCTGGGATGCTCTAGACTTGGAGATACGTGACAGGGCAACACAATTGCCTAACATGACGTTTGCCCAAGTGGTTGACCAAGGGTTGAAAGGAGAGAAGCAATGGGAAGAAAGGAAGAAGAGAGACGCCGAGGAGGCGAAAAAGAGAAAGTGGGAGAGTCATGGCTCCCAAGGTTCCAACAAAAAGGGGAACCACGGAGGAGGATCTTTCCGGGCACCACCGCCACCATATAGGGGGAACCAAGGCCCGAGTGGGCAAGGCGCGAGGTCACAAACCTCAGTGGTAGCTCGTTGCAACAACTGCAAGAAGAACCACTCCGGTAAATGTCGCGACCCCCTAGATGTTTTCAATGCGGGGATGCCGGGCATTTGAAGGCACATTGTCCACAATTGAGTGGGGCAAGGACATCGGGACCGAGTAGCGGTCCGACGGGTACACGGAATCAAACCGGGGCTTCTCAAGCAAGCCGGGGACACGGGGGGGCAAGTACAAGCAACGCGCCATCCGTGAACCAAGGGAGGACCCAGGCTAGGGTCTATGCGATGACGGAGGCGGATGCTCAAGCTAACCCGGACTCCGTCGCAGGTATTGCCTCTCATATACTAGTGTTTTATCCTTAATTAGTCCATAAATTGAGGATACTAATCGCTAGGATCATTGCACGAGGTTTTGGGGTCGAACCGGGGGATTTCGGGCAACTTCAGGCGGCTGGGACCCAGGCACGATCGTGCCTAAGGCAGACACGATCGTGCCTCCAAGTCAGTAGCTGCCCAGGAAAATTCCCAACCCAGGCACGATCGTGCCTAAGGCAGACACGATCGTGCCTACAAGGCAGTAGCTGCCCAGGTGTTCCTTCAAACCAGGCACGATCGTGCCTAAGCCAGACACGATCGTGCCTCCAAATCAGTGGCTCCCCAGGATTTCCCAACCCAGGCACGATCGTGCCTAAGGCAGACACGATCGTGCCTCCAAGGCAGTGGCACCCTGGGCGTTTCCCCAAGCCAGGCACGATCGTGCCTACCCCGGGCACGCCGTGCCTTGCACCCAGATTGCCGAAACCCGATTTTTTTCGCATCATTTTGCGACGTTAAGGCCTCTTCTTGATCCCTAACGTGCGTGTGAACATTGCAACCTTCTATAAATGAGTAGGGAGGGTAGGAAAGATGTCTTACATGGTTCATGAATGTAGGGACACTAAAGATTAACGGGAAGGATGCACGAATCCTTATCGATACCGGAGCGCAACGTTCATTCGTGAGTGAGGCATTTGCCGAGAGCTTAGAGATGCAATCAATACCAATGACACAAACCTTAGTGGTATCAACCCCACTAGGGGAAGACGTTGAAAGAAACAATTACTATCCATCTTGTATGGTGGAAATCGGTGGCCAAACCTTGACGTGTGATTTCGTACCGCTGAGTATGATGGAGTTCGATGCAATCCTAGGGATGGATTGGCTAGAAAAGCATCATGCTAGGGTAGATTGCTACACAAAGGTGTTGGAACTCGAAGGCACACAGGGGGGACGCCCTACGCTTCGAGGGGGACCGCGGCAAATCAAATAGTTGTATCATATCCGCCGTGAGAGCGAGAAATATGATGAGGAAGGGATGCCACGCATATCTAGCATACGTGGTTGACAAAACCAAAGAGGAAACGAACATCGATGATGTGAGGGTGGTTTGTAAGTATCCGGATGTCTTCCCTAAAGACCTACCGGGGCTTCCACCTGACAGAGAGATTGAATTTGTGATCGAGGTCGAGCCTGGTACCAAACCAATCTCCATACCGCCATACCGGATGGCACCCGCTGAACTTAACGAGTTGAAAACCCAATTGCAAGAGCTTTTGGATAACGGTTTCATTAGACCAAGCCACTCCCCGTGGGGAGCACCGGTTCTTTTTGTGAAAAAGAAAGATGGGACACTTCGAATGTGCATTGACTATCGTCAACTGAACAAGGTCACAATCAAGAATAGGTATCCGTTGCCTAGGATTGATGACTTGTTTGATCAACTACGAGGAGCAACCGTGTTTTCAAAGATTGATTTGAGGTCGGGTTACCATCAATTGAAGATTAAGGAAGACGACATACCAAAAAGTGCTTTCCGCACAAGGTATGGGCATTTTGAGTTCCTTGTTATGTCGTTTGGGTTGACAAACGCCCCGGCGGCATTCATGGACTTGATGAACCGAGTATTCCATAAATACTTGGATCGATTCGTGATTGTGTTCATAGATGACATCTTTATTTACTCAAAGAGTGAAGAAGAGCATGAGGAGCACTTGATACTTGTTCTTGAAACACTACGGGAGAAGCAACTCTATGCCAAATTTTCTAAATGTGAATTTTGGCTAAAGGAGATTGGCTTCCTCGGGCACGTGGTTTCGGGATCGGGGATTGCTGTTGATAACAAGAAGATAGAAGCCATTACTGAATGGGAGAGGCCAAAGAACGTCAAGGAAATTCGTAGTTTCCTTGGATTGGCAGGCTACTACAGGAAGTTCGTGGAGAAGTTCTCTGTTTTGGCATCACCATTGACGAAGCTCACTCGTAAAGGAGCTAAGTTTGTATGGGATGACAAATGTGAGAAGGGGTTCATGGAACTAAAGAAACGATTGACCGAGGCACCGGTACTTGCATTACCCAAACAGGGTGTGGGGTACGATGTCTATAGCGATGCGAGCATCCAAGGGCTTGGGTGTGTACTGATGCAGAATGGGAGGGTAATTGCCTATGCTTCACGACAGTTGAAGAAGCATGAGGTGAATTATCCCACTCATGATTTGGAGCTGGGGGCAGTGGTGTTTGCACTGAAGATATGGAGACATTATCTCTACGGGGAGACATGTCACATATACACTGATCACAAGAGCTTGAAATATGTGTTTACTCAGAAAGAGCTAAACATGAGACAGAGACGGTGGATGGAGTTGATAAAAGACTACCATCTGGTGATAGAGTATCACCCAGGCAAGGCAAACGTGGTGGCAGATGCTTTGAGCCGGAAGAGCTCGTCTGGGGCATTGATAACTAATTTGAGGGCATTAAGAGCCCAACTGGAGGTAACCAGCGATGGTGCCTTATTGGCACGATTTGAGGTGAGACCCACTTTACTTGATGAGATCAAGAAGGGTCAGGAAGCCGACGAAGAACTTATGAAGGTCCGGGAACGCATGCAAGCGGGGCCGGTGGAGGATTTCAGGGAAAGAGATGATGGTCTCTTGTTATTTCGTGACCGAGTGTGTGTACCGTCAGATGATGAGCTCCGAAAGTCCATCTTAGAGGAGGCTCATTCATCGGCTTATGCCATGCACCCGGGGGGCACGAAAATGTACCGTGATTTGAAGGAAAGTTACTGGTGGTCTGGGATGAAGAGGGAAATAGCCGAGTACATCAGTCGGTGCCTTACTTGTCAACAAGTTAAGGCAGAACATCAGCACCCAGCAGGCTTATTGCAACCACTTTCCATTCCTGAATGGAAGTGGGAACACGTGACTATGGATTTCGTGGTAGGTTTACCACGGACAATCAGGAACTATGATGCAGTTTGGGTCGTTGTGGATAGGCTCACAAAGAGTGCACACTTCTTGCCTATCAACACTACCTACCCACTTGAGAGGTTAGCCAAATTGTATACGGATGAGATCGTGAGGCTGCATGGGGTCCCAGTGACCATTGTATCTGATAGAGACCCACGATTCACATCACGTTTTTGGCCGAAATTCCAAGAGTCTATGGGAACGAAGTTGAAGTTCAGCACTGCTTTCCATCCACAGACGGATGGGCAGTCTGAAAGGGTTATACAGATCCTAGAAGACATGCTGAGGGCTTGTGCATTGGAGTTCCAGGGGAGTTGGGACAACCACTTAGCACTTGTGGAGTTTGCTTATAACAACAGTTATCAGGCGAGCATCAGCATGCCTCCATACGAGGCATTGTATGGGAGGAGGTGCCGTACACCGTTATGCTGGGACGAGGTTGGCATGGCCAAACTCGAGGGTACTGAGTTGGTGGAGGTCACCAAATCAAAGGTGAAGTTAATTCGAGAGAGACTCAAGGCGGCTCAGGATAGACAAAAGAGTTATGCAGATAAGCGTCGAAGAACCTTAGAGTTTAAGGTTGATGACGAGGTATTCTTGAAAGTTTCTCCTTGGAAAGGGATCATTCGGTTCCAAACCCGAGGAAAACTTAACCCACGATATATAGGTCCATTCAGAATTATAGAGAGGATTGGGGCCGTTGCATATCGTCTACAATTGACTCCTGAGTTAGAGAAGATACATAATGTGTTTCATGTATCCATGCTTAAGAAGTACGTGCATGATCCCTCTCACGTGTTGGAGAAGCCACCTGTAGAGGTACGTGAGGATTTGAACTACGCTGTTCAACCTATCAAAGTCACCGATAGAAAGGTGAAGAAGCTGAGGAGCAAAGAAGTCTCAATGGTTAAAGTCCTGTGGAAGAGCGATCGGGTCGAGGAAGAAACATGGGAAACGGAGGCTTTGATGAGGAAGCAGTATGCTTTCCTATTCGAGTAGAGCTGTGAATTTCGGGGACGAAATTCCTGTTAAGGGGGGGTGAACTTGTGACACCGCACCCGAACGTCCTTGAAAATTCGATTTAAAAATTCAAAAGTGATGTATTGAATTTCCGATTTCAAAGCAATGGAAGAAACGATTAATATTTTACGAAGTACATGATTGAATATCGTACTGTTCAAACTCGTACATTAGTGTCGGGTTTCGCAAATACTTACTCGGGACTTATTAATAAATAAAAGAGCCCGACATTATCTATATAAGTGATCGAAGGATTAAAGAAGAATACAAATGCCTATAACCCCATCTTTGGCATTTTTGAGCTAAATAATGGGAGTAGGATTTTCCTCCTATAATATCCATCAAGTAAATTATTGAGATGAGCCTACACATATTGGAGACCAATAATGTGATGTAGGAAGTTGACTTGTTCTAAATAAATTAGGATGAGTACAAAAAGACATCTTTTGACAAAAGATAAAACAATAGGACCCATCTTCCCATTTTTTTTTGGAAGTATTGGTAGATATTTTGGACCCCAAAATGATTGGGATCAATTGGGAACCACTCCACATGCCTTGGTAACATGATTGAGAGCTCTTGTATACTCCCACAACCCCCCATTCGACCCCCCAAAAGAGATAAGAGAGCAAAGGTATCCACACAACTCAAAAGGGAAGGAAGAAGGAGAGCAGTCCGCAGGTTCTTTCTTTAGTGCGAAGCTCTTACTGTTCGAGCCATAACTTGAGATTTACTCGTCCGATTAAGGCGTATAAGGTACCAAAAGAAAGCTCTCAAGACGAGGAATCCGTGGAGGTCTGGTTTGCATCAATCGGAGTAGTGGAAGGCTTCCAGATTGTCCGAACAAAACGCAACCTCGCAGAACACAGTTTTGCATTCAAAGTAAGTTTGAATCCAAAACCTTCCTTTTCATTTTCCAAATGATATGAACGATTGGTGGGACTATTATACACTACTAGAAGTGTATAATATGTCCTTATGAAGTTATTTTATTGATGTAAAGGTTAGATACTAACCTAGAGCAAATCTTGGAAAACTAGGAAACGAGTTAACCGGAAAACACCCGTTCTAGGGACTGTTTTCGTGTCATTCGGTTAGGAGTGGAGCTGGCAGCTGGAGGAGGCTGTTTAACACTCATTTCTAAGCAAGGAATCAGTTCTAAATCAACCTTGACCAAAGCCTTGACCATTGGATCAAGAAGGAAAAGTTTAAAGCTCAATTAAGGTGAGGATTGACATCTAATTGCTTACAACTTGTAGGTTAAGCATGAGATTACCTAAATGCTTAAATCATGATTTTTCATGGATTATGATGATTATATATTGATGAAATATTGATATAGTTGCCAAGGAATGAAAGTTGAAATGATTTGAGAAGGTATGAATAATATGAGATAAATGAGTATAAATGAACTATTTTGTGAAAATGGGCATTTTGCTCATGTATGAATTATGTGGATGCATAAATGAATATTTGTGTATTGAGATTGAATACTTAAGTTGCTGCTACATAATTATAAATATGTAGAGAATTACAAATAATGAGGATAATGGTATGATAACAATAATCTTAATAGTATTGAAACACTAGTTAGTGATTATTGGAACTTGTTGATTAAATTGATCCTAGGGATTGGATTGTATGAAAGGTACTTGAAAATAGTTCAAGTGTATATAACAACTTAGTTTGGAACTAAGGTTAAGTTATGGGAAGTCCTTAAGGATGACCCAAAGTAGTTTAATGATATGTCAATTCTAGGCATAGGGTTGCTTGAGAATTGGACCTTAATGCATGGTGATGTAATAGAGCCGAGCTCTAGAATGCATGTAAGGTGTAGACTTGGAGTCTATGTATTGTATAGCTAGAGCCGAGCTCTAGGACTTGCGTGGTGATGTAATAGAGCCGAGCTCTAGAACGCAAGGTAAGGAAATTGACCCGAGGTATATGAATTGTATGGTGATGTAGTAGAGCCGAGCTCTAGAATACAATGTCATGTACTAGGGTTGGACTCTAGGAGTTGTCGTGGCTTATAGCCACGGGGTTGGGAATGGTGATTTCCAAATGAAAACGGGCCCACGGGCCGACTACTTGACTTTTATATAAAGTAAGTATATTTTTAAACGGGGTAACTTAGGGTTACAATCATAATGTACTATCACCCTATTTGAGGGTCTTGTGTTTGAAATACTTGTTGTATATCTATTAGATGCCTGCCACACCAGTACTTTATCGCCGTATAGAGTATTGACCCCTTCGGGGGCGTCCCACCACCATTTCAGGTTGAGGCTAGAGCTTGCATCCTGTGCTCGTTGATCGAGTGATTCCTCGGAGAGAAGACTTGGTTCGTGCTTCCTCCATTCTATTTGAAACATTAATAAATTTGCTCATGGATATTTTACTATAGAGCCTGCGTGCTCATGAATAGCCCGGTGTGGCCTTTTGTTTTAAACAATGTTTTCCGCTGTGTTATGAATTACTTATTATGTTTGTTTATGGATGTTATATGTGTGAATGATATTCATGACGCCTTGTATAATATGAATGTGTTGGACTGCGGTTGACTATTCGTATTGTACGGCGGGTTGTTGACGTGTCCGGGTAGGTCCGGGGCGTGACATAAGGATTCGAAGAAGGTCTTTTTGTTTCTGGGTTAGGTTGCCTTCTTCGGTAGCTAGTAGTTGATCTAGCATTAGGTTTTCGAGTACCTCGAACGGTAACGTTTTAGGGTCAGGAAAAGGTGTGGTCGAAGTAGGGGAGGACACTAGTTCTGTATCCTGGGTTCCCCTTGAAGCAGTAGGTGAGTGAGATAGGGTTGCGGATGGTTCAGAGGTTTGTTGGGTAGGTATGATAGGAAGTGGTTGGGTTTGTTGGGTATGTGAGGATGATGGTTGGGGTTGGATGATGTCATTAAGCAACGCCGGGGTGTTCCTGAATTCCTGTGCCCGAGCGGTTATTGCTTCGTGCACCCATGGCTTAATGGTGGAATCCATGAAACGCTGCAAAATGACTGAAAGGTCGGTAGGGTTAGGGTTACCAGTTACAGGGGTAGTAACCGTTGTCACAGCATCAGTAAAGATTACCGATGTGTGGCCTGCAGATAATGATGGAGATATCTGTTGAGCAGCAGGACTTCCGATCATCATCGACGTATCTCCGATCGTTGAGGACAGGTAAAGTGCACCTGTTGTGTGCAGTGGTGTGAGCAGTGTATGTGTCCTAGAAAAAGTGGAAAATGTTGGGAGGGTGGAAACTAGACTCAATGTGCTAGAAGGAGGGGTAGTGGTCTGGGGCGGAAGACCACAAGGAATGTCCTCAACTGCGTCGTAAGGAGGCAGTGAGGTGGGTATAATGTCCCCTGTTTGTGAAACTACTACCTGTTGGGAGGCAGCAGAGTGGCTTGGTGAGGCTTGTGCATGCGCAGTTGGGCTAGATGCTGCGTCTTCTACCCGGAAACTGAAAATATCAGTTTCTGCACCTATGGGGTTAGTCCGGTTTATGGTGTCTAGGTCAGAGCAGCTGTCATACAAAGCTAACTCTTCTGCCAGGTTGCTCGCGGTTTGCACTCTTTGCATAGGAGTAGATGATGAGGAGGGGTTGTCATGACGTACCTTGGAGCGAGTCTCACTGATGATGTTTCCTTGAGTGTCCTTGATTTGGTGAGACTGCTCCTGTGTTGTAGCACGAGAAAGCCTGATAACGAGTCGTCCTTTCTTAGCGCGGGCTTTCTCGACTTTCTTGCCCTTTGCATTGGCGTTGTCGTCATCCTCATCATCGTCATCGTCGTCGTTCTTCTCAGCCTTGCTCCCAGAGCCCTCATCGTCAGCGTCTTGTGTTGTGGCTACGCTTGGCGAATCATGGGTAAACTCTTCAGCACGGGGGTGGCCCTCAGCAGACGTAGTCTGATCATCATGGGGCCGGCTTGCCACTAGTCTCTGTGGCCGGGTTGAACTCTCAGGACCCTCACTTACTCTCGGCTGACTCCCTGGGGTAGGCTCAGGGGGGTTTATCTGAGCCATAGGGAGTATGATGTTGTTCTCCTCGCTGTAGCGTATGACATGTGGATCATTGCGACCGGCTAGCAGGAGGAGAGGGACAGGAATAGGTAATGGTACCAGTGAGTGTACCTCTGGCATTTTCTTCAGATATTGTAGGGCTGGAGTGCTGACATTCTCAGATGTTTTGCGTCTTTGAATAGTTGGAATTGTTCTGCAGAAGTGTCGCACCAGCAGTGAAAACCATCTCATGTATGGTAGATGTTTGATCTGATCAGTGTCAAATTTCCTTCTTCGCATTTCCAGAATGTCACCCCAGATTAGTGAGGCGAAATCGTAGTTCTTCATGAATGCGATGCCGTGGAAGATGTAGACGAGGTAACCGCTGCATTTGTCGAAGCCACTGTGCTTAGATGTGCAGCACTTGTTCAGTGTGGCCATAAGTGTCCTCCATGGTCGTGGAAATCGTGCTGTCTTGATCGCAGACATCAGTCGGAGGGGTTCAGCGTGGCCCAGTTTGATCATGTCCTCAAAGATTTGCGCTTCGGAGGCCAACGCATCATAATGTTCCTCCTCCGGGATCTGTAGCACTTGTTGGACCAACTATTTAGTAATGGTAACTCTGGTGTGGCAGATTGTGGCAGCTAGGACGTCATCAATTTGTCTGTCATTCGCATCTACGTCCTTGTCAAGTGTACCCCAGAATTGTTGGCGATACACTTGAGGGACTTCAGCGTTTTCGCTCAGTGCCTTCCACAGCGTGTGTCCTTTCAGAATGGAGACGACCACGTCATCTTGGCATGAGAACACCTCAGGGTCCAACTGTGAGTTGTTTTCCTTGACTGGGATCCATTGTTCCCTAGCATAGATCATGTTGATTGGAGTGTTGGCGGCCATTTCAGTCTGAAAATGATAAACAGATTAGAGCATATGATTGAAAATGGCTAAGTCCACAACTTATTTCTCACTTGGGCCCTTTGTTCTGTGTTTTTTTTTTGAAAAGTGGGGCCCAATAAAAAGGTTATTGTTCTTGGTTGTCAATGCTGGGCCTGGACTTGATTATTGTGGCCCGTTTGAGAAAATTTCCGCTAAGGGTTTGGTCCGGGCTGGGCTTGATTTCGCTCCACTTAATCGCGCAGCCCAAAAAGAATCACGCAAGGGGTTTCGCTCAAGGAGGAAATAGCGCAACCCTAAATATCGCGCAAGGACTTGGGATCGCGCATGTCTAATCGCGCAGGCCTGGTCGATCGCGCAACCTTGGATCGCGCAGGGCATTAGATCTTGCAACTCTTCTGAGATCGCGCAAGGGTGCTGGATCGCGCAGGCCATGGATTTGCTGTTCCAAATCGCGCAAGCCATCCTTTCGCGCAAGAGGCTTATCGCGTAACTGATTCGTGCAAGACCTGAGATCGCGCAAACACCCCAGATCGCGCAAGGGCCTGATATTGCGCAAGCCAGATCGCGCAGCCCTTGGTTTTGCGCAAGTTGGAAATCGCGCACTGGGGTTTTCGCAAGGGAGTCCTGTTCGTCGTCTTCAGCTAGACCGTGTACCTGTTCATTATTAGAAAAATCGAAGAAAGATGGGGAAATTTCTTTACCTTTGAGTGAAAAACGAGAGAGAGAGTTGAGAGCTCTGAGGGAGTGCAAGCGTTTCGCGCAGAAGTGAAATGGGGAGGAGTTGCGCGTTTCATAGATTAAATAGCCCCGGGAGATTTTTCAAAAATGTAACGGGCCCAAATCAGTCAGATTTCAAATTAAAATGCTCCCCCTCAACACTCGCTTCTCTTTTAAGAATGAATAATTTTTGCAAACTCCCCCTCGATTTATGAACACTTTAGAACAGCTCCCCCTCAACTTATGCATTGAAAAAAATGATGTATGAAAAAAAATAAAAGGAAAACATGCGAAAAAAATGATGCATGAGAGAGAGAAAAGAAAAAAATGTGATGCAAAGATGACTAAAATGCAAAACATGAAAGCACACGCACACACACAGTTCAGATGTTACTCAGTCGTTTAGGTTCAGCATCCCCAACTTAGAGATCAGGAAATTGAATCTCTTTTCATCCAGGCCCTTTGTGAAAATATCAGCCAGTTGCAATTCTGTAGACACAAAGTACATGTCCACAGTGCCTTTCTCAACGTGATCCTTTATGAAATGATATCTAAGATCAATATGCTTCGTCCGAGAATGATGGACAGGATTTCACGTGATGGCTATTGCACTTTGAGAGTCACTGTAGATCGGGATGTGTGAGAATGTGAACCCATAGTCTTTCAGTTGGGTCCTCATCCATAATATCTGTGAGCAACAGCTAGCAGCCGCGACATATTCTGCCTCAGCTGTAGAAGTAGACACACAATTCTGCTTTTTAGAGGACCAGCATACCAATTTATCACCAAGAAATTGAGCACCGCCAGATGTACTCTTTCTGTCCAGTTTGCAACCCGCGAAATCAGCATCTGAGTATCCAACAAGGTCAAAACCTGATTCCTTGGGATACCAAAGGCCCAGATTGACTGTTCCTTTGAGATATCTCAGTATTCTTCTAACAGCATTCAGATGTGATTCCTTCGGATTTGCTTGAAAGCGGGCGCATAGGCAAGTTGCAAAGACAATGTCTGGTCTGCTAGATGTAAGATACAGCAAGGAACCGATGATAGCCCGATAATTGGTAGCATCGACTGGTTTCCCGGAAGGGTCAGAGTCGAGCTTCTGTGAGGGAGACATGGGGGTTTTCATCGTCGACTTGCTGTCCATTTTGAAGCGCTTTAGCATATCGTGGATGTACTTGGACTGATTGATGAATATTCCGTCTGGCATTTGCTTGATCTGAAGCCCCAGAAAGAAGTTCAACTCTCCCATCATACTCATCTCGAACTTGGTGCGCATCAGGTTGATGAACTTTTTGCAGAAATTTGGATTTGACGAGGCAAAAATGATGTCGTCCACATAAATTTGTATCAGCATGATGTCACCCTTGTGTCTTTTGATGAAGAGAGTTGGATCTATCTTTCCCTTCGAGAAGCCTGATTCTACAAGAAAATCTGACTGCTTCGTACCAGGCTCTCGGTGCCTGTTACAGACCATACAAGGCTTTCCTCAGCTTATATACATGGTTGGGGCGTTCAGGATCAACAAAGCCATCAGGTTGTGCAACGTAGACTTCTTCTTTCAGATCTCCATTTAGAAATGCTGTCTTTACATCCATCTGATACACTGTGAAACTCTTGTGTGCAGCATAAGCAAGGAATAATCTTATCGCTTCAATTCTTGCCACTGGTGCAAAGGTTTCATCATAGTCAATTCCTTCTTGTTGATTGTAACCTTTTGCAACCAGGCGGGCCTTGTTTCTCACGATCACACCGTCTTCATCTTTCTTGTTCTTGAATACCCATTTGGTGCCGATAATGGTTTTCTTGTACGGCCTTGGCACCAGGGTCCACACTTTCAATCTTTCAAACTGGTTCATTTCTTCCTGCATTGCAATCACCCAGTCCGGATCAGCCAATGCGTCAGTCATCTTTGTTGGTTCTTTCTGAC